CTCCCCTCCCGCGCCCTGGGAACTTCAAAGCGGCCGGCGCTGCCCGGGCTGCGTCGCTCGGCTCTGGGGCCTCGCAGCCCCCGCGCGGTCGCCGGGTGGCCATGACCCGGGCGCTCCGCTCCGCGCTCCGCCAGGTTCTCCTGCTGCTGGCTGCGGTCTCCGAGCTCTCAGCAGGTACGACGGTGTTTTTCCCCTGCGCCCGCAAGGGCGGAAGTTGGGGGCGGCGGGCGGATAGGCAGCGGGGTGTGGAAAAGCAAACTGACCTTCTACCGAGCGGAGGGGGAAGCGCCAGTGGGATTGAGGGGTGCGCGGGAGAAAGCGCAGCGTGGGCACCTGACGTCTGGCAGCCATAGGGGTTGACAGGTGTGTTGGGGACGAAGCCAACAGCCGGAGGGAAGAGAGGAGGTGGGGACGTGGGGTAGTAGGGGTGAAGTGGGTGACTAAGTTGGGGACAGTTGGCAGCGGAGGAAGTAGGAGAACCACCGTTGCGTCGGTGGGTGTGCGCTCCGCTAGTAACTGGTTGGCACCGTGAATTCGCCATGTGAGGTAGGGGAGGGCTGCAGGTCGCTTCGGGGACGTTCTGATTTGAATCCCTGAGAGCTGCGCAAGGATGGTGGTGGGGAGTGTGGCGATTTAGTCTGAGTTTTAGGGGGCGAGATATACACCCAAAGCTGCTGGTGCCACGCCGTGGAGGCGGGAGTAGGAGTTTAAATCTGCGTAATTTGCGGTGCACGTTGCTTTCGAGGCACTAGCTTTACTCAGAGTTCCAGGGGAAAAGAATCTGGCAGACGTCCCAACGTTTTATAACAGGTCCGTGCCTTGATAGGTTAAATAGAACCTTCGACCCAAGTTAGAAGCCAAACGTTTTTTTATGATGTGTACTAGAATCTGGGGCACATACATCTTTGGTAATAAGCTGTGAATAAAATGCCTTCAACTCTAAAACTCTTTTCATCAGGTTGTCCCGGATTATGTAGACCAGGAGCAGATTTCCTGCTTGTCCTTTAAACATTTCAATCAGATGTCCAAGACAGTTGCACACAAAAATCTGGTGTTTTTCCGTAAAGCTGTACTTTGTCGTCTTTTTGTTTTCCCAGGTGACAATCTGTTTGACATCAATAGTTGTACTCAGGGTGGGTAGTTTTCCTGTAATGACATGTGAGGGAGACTGTTTTGAATAGTGTGATTGCTGTCATGTCCAAGGAATCATTTACTACAACATCCAGATAAAAATCGATTACTGAAAAGGATTAATTGATCATTATAATCCAAGAATCAAAACATTCCTGGTATCACTGAGGAAAGGCGATTGTCAGGTGGATGATGGAGTCAAGTGAAATACTAATTTGCATTTAGCGTTAGTAAAGTCATCAAGGAGAGGAAAACTGACGGGGAGAAAGTCTGTGGAAGTAATGATGAAGCCTCTTGGGCTGGTTTCATGGTCCAGCGATAATGTGTTGCTCAAAGGAAACTGAATCCCACTTGGCAATGGAAGTTCAAACCCCAACCTAGTCAGCCTGAAACACGCACGTAACCCAAGAGTTCCCAGAGTTTCTTGGGCTAGGAGAAACTTAAGAGTCTTAGCATGAGTAGGCTCTGTGGTGGGTACTTCTGTTTCTCACAGTTTCATGTGCGTGCACTCTACCATGAATGAAGAAAGAAAAATAAGTTAAAACAGAAAAGAAGTGACTGACCAGAGTCAGCACACACTGAGTGTATGTGCATGCGTGCCCCAAATCCTGAGAGAGAATGGAGGAGAAGGGATTGTGATGTGGCCATCCCCCCTCAAAGGTAATTTCTCACTTTGTCTCTCTGGCAAGTGTGCTTACCCAATAGCAAAAATCTCTCTCTCCAAAAAAAAGGAGAAAACTCTTCTAACTTGACATGCTAGTACTATTGACGATTTAATAGAATTTACACACACACACTCACACACACAACCTTCCATTTATCACAATTTTTCAATTTTTACAGAGTACCGATTAAATTGCCTCTGCAGCCTGTCTGTACAGCTCCTTTTATTTGAGGGAGCTAATAATTTTGCTGCAGACATTTTATCAAGTAGATTCAATTTTTTTAAAAAATCAAGCTTGAAAAGTAAATTTTGACAGAAATTTTAGAAAATTCCAGAGACCCTGGACATAGTAACAAAAGAAAACATGATTCATGGAAACTTTTGACATTGAAATATATAAAAATGAGATAAACCCATTCAATTTGATTATTTTCTCAAAATTTGAAAGCTAAGAAAAATGCATGATATGGAGCTGAGATATTAATATAAGGCTGAACTTTTACAAGAAACTTTTCTCTATCAACTGTAATTATTTAAAAATATCCTTAAGGAACTTTTACCCTCTTTGTGTCTCACATAAACAACTCTGCTATATACATTATTTATTCTTAATTTTATGCACAGCTTTGGTTATTTGGTAGAGGGATTTGAGATCTTTTTTTGGTTTTCTTCTGTGGATACCTACTCTGTTTTTTGTCTGATCACTTTTGCAGGTTGCATCTTTCTGTTATATTGCTTGTCTGTGACTATGTGATCGGGGTGGTCTTCAAAAAGCTCATGGAAAATACCTATTGGGAAAAATATGTACATGAATTTCAAAATTTTTTCTACCAAAAGAAACTTGCAATTTAATTCCATTATTCCTCACAAACCTTTTCTGAAATCTCCTTCTACTTTTCATTGTTGGCATGTCATACAAGAAGTCGTCCTTTATGTGATGACATAGTCATTGAAACTGCGTGCCAGAAAGTACTACCTTCTGATTTGACTCTGCTGAGTGCCAAGCTCAGAATCTTACATACCTGAAAACGTGATAGACCAAAAAACCCTTTTTGCTTTGGCTGTGTTTCATTAGAATCTCTGTCACTTTTTTATGTCATGTATTTTTTATTTTTGAGAGGTTTTTGCTATAGGGCGTGTGCGCTCGCCAGACAGACAGAGACATAGAGACAGAAAGCGAGAAATCACCCCCCAGGGGGGATGGTCACGCCGCAATCCCTTCTCCTCCATTCTCCGCTCGGGATCTTGGGCACGCACGCACATGCGCCCAGCGTGAGTTTTAAGCCACCGGGTACGGGACGCGAACCGCAGTTGACTATGTGGGAGTCCAGCGACATAGCCATTACGCTAACTGCTGGTTCCCTTATGTCATGTATTAACAGTAAGGAAGAGCCCATTGATCCTTGATGATACTCTTAGAGTAACAACTGGTGGAAACTCAAGAAGAAAATATTCATTGGTCTGGACTGAATTAAAAAATTAGACTGCGGTGAGTTGCCATGATCATCTAGGTTCCATATCCCATGGTGTTTGGTCAGGAAGTCCTGACATAGCCTTACAATGGCCATCATGCATACTAAACAGCAAAATGGCATAAAATATCCTGCAGTTTTCTGTTTAGAAACTGTGAACTGGATTTGCGCATTCTCTTCTAATTTCATGAATCTCCTTTGTCTCCTAGTAAGGAATTACTGAGTCTAGAAAGTGATATGCTCTTTCTATAAAAGTGAAATGATATGTGCTTCCTTTAAAAACCAGGGTGGCAGTAGGGGTTTCAGGTAGTGAGATCCCCCCCACCCCCACCCCAATGAACAGTTTTCAGCAGTGCCTCTGGAAGTGAAAGTAAAAGTCCGAGGCTGACCAGTTTATAAATGCCAAAGATGTTGCCACCTTTGCCCTTCTTTAAGTGTAATCATTTACTGGTTGATTGACACAAATGTGGCACGAGGCTCCCTGGTTCCCAGGAAGAGACATCTCAGGCCCAGGAGAAGCTGTGCAAAACTCCCAGGGGCTTGTTTCTTCATGGACTGTACTGCCTAAACATGTTATCTAGCCTCAAACTTGCAGAAATAGAAAATAGTTTCTCAGAATTGCTAAACTCGGACAAAAAGAAAGTACTTAAGGTGTGAGAGAAAGCGAGGAACTAAGGATGACATTACATTTTTGACCTACCTAAGCAATGAAGGAATGGATTCTTACTTTGGACGGATCAGATTACAGGAGAAGCTGTCTTGGGGGAGAAAAGGGATGGTGGTAGATAGCAGAAGCTCAGTTTTGGCTACAGTGAGTTTAAAATCCCTATTGAACACTGAAGTGGAGTCAAGTAAGCAATTAGTTTTATGACTTGAGTTCAGGGGATATGTCTAGACTGAAGGTAACAAAATATGAGTCAAGGGCATTTACAGATAATTTTAAAGGGCATTAAATAGGTCACAGATTTAGTAAGTAACGCACAGAACACCCAGTTAAATTGAATTTCAGATAAATAGTGCATACATTTTTAAACATACATATGTCGTATATGTGATATAGGACACAAATATATTAAAATTAATTGCTGTTTAATTCTAATTTAACTGAGTGCTCTGTATTTTTATCTGGTAGCCCAACACAAAAGAAATATTGTTGAGAGATGATCTTTTCCTGGAACATATATATATTCTTGGCCCTTTCATTAAAAAAAAGAGCATGAACCTATTTCCTAGCCCTAGTCTCTTAGAACTTCTCTTCTAGCTCTGCTACTGCCTCCCAGGTGTCTTTGAATGGGCTTTCCCAGCTGTTTGCACAGAATGTCTCCCCTACTTCTGTGTGAACCAGGATACTCAGTCTTTCCCAATCTTACATGAGTACCTTGACAGGAAAAAGTGTGAGAAAGATAAGACTAAGTCTTGACTTCCTGGAACTGATTTTTATGTGAAAGCAATTCCCCCACCCCCCAAATTTTCTTTTGAAAGTTATTTATTTTTTGGATGCATTTTAGGGGATTTCCTTTTGAGGAATGTAGTATCTTTAAGGGTCAATGCTTCCAGGCAGCAGTCATGGTCCTGTTAATTATTTGATTCTTGGTAGCATACATCTCTTACTGTAAATAATGTTGAGAGAGGAAACTGGATAGAGTTGGGGTAAGGGAGGCTGTTGGGTCCTACAGGCTCTGCTAATGTGACACAATTGGGATTTTTGAGCATGTCCCTAAGAGTGTGATAATGTATGTGTATCATACATTATCATTTGTTTCTATGAGGTTTTTCTTCATATCGTTAGTCAAAATTTCAGGTTTTCTCCTTGTATTTAATTTTTTTTTTTTGTCTATACCAGAGGGCTTGTACACACATGCAAGAGATAGAGAAAGTGAGAGAGAGAGAGAGAGAGAGAGAGAGAG